TAAGATAATATGGACTACCGATTTAGGTTCCTAGTAATCTTGTTACTTTTCAAGTGATCACAATAATTAGATTTATGTGTGCATTTAGTATTTAACCAACTTAGATTAATTAGTGTGAAGCGAATTGAATTTTGTTTGTATGTGTTTTGGGTTGCAATTAATACAAGTCGCTATAAGAATCAAATAGAAACCAATATAGGCGGTATTTGGGTTCATGATTCAATTCGTAAAATCATACCAGAATTTCTAGTTATGGTTCAGGATTACTATGGAGTTAGTAATCTCGTGGATTATGAATTGGGTGCAACTTTCATAGATCAAATAGTTGTTGCCTTCGATTTTTTCCCTTTTTTGTGGTTGCATTTAATGATCCATGAACGGTTTACAAGTTCCTTAAAAACTTGTTGACAACGCCCTACTTTTTTGTCCTTATCATTATATGTCGAATCCAACTTTTTATGATTGCCAAAAATATTCACGTATGCTCCACATAGGCTCACTTTGAGCGACGTCTACATGATTTGAACGGAAAACAATGGAAAATTACTCTTATTGTAGAAGCGCGCCTCATCACGCTACAAATTGATAAGCCACTTGGACAATTACCGCGACACGAAACATTTGCCATGATGCAGCTTCTTAAAAATTTGGAATGTTTATATTTATAATGTTTATAGAAATGTTTCTGTTACGCGACGATTTAATGCGTATGTAGCATTACAGAATATTATAGTTGGCTTAGGTTAACTTGTGGGTTATGAAATTAATGGGTTAAGCTTGAAAGAAAATAGAAAAGGGTTTGAATTAAAGGTTTGGGCCTAGGATGAAATAGGAAATAGGCTAGGATATGAAAATGAGTAGAGTTTCTAACTAAAATTCGAGTATTCCTTTTATTCAACACGCAACCCAGATCAAATGGTAGTGAAAGGATTATTCATTACCGGGTTTTGGACGTGGTGACACATTTAGGTGTCTACAATACCCCAAAACGCATTTGCTTCACCTATGTCCTTCATATGAAAGTACTTGCAAAGAATTTTAAGAGCATTCTCAACAATGAGGAAAAAAAATGTTTTCCTCATTCTCTTTCTACCCATTTTCTTTCTCTAAAATCCTCATTTTCCTCACGAGGAGATTTGGTGAGGAAATTTTATCCCACCAATGATAAAAATAAAAAATAAAATAAAAAAAAACTCACCACTCCCTCTCTTAGAGCATTCACACCAATGAGAAAAGTGTACATGAGAAGAAATAAGGGTGTAAAAAAACAAATAGCCTACACTAGTGAGAAGAAATTATTCTCTTCATGGGAAGAATTAATTTAACGCATAGGTTGAGGAGTTTTTTAGGTGAACAGTGCGCTATGGTGGGCTCCACAATAAAATTGATATTCAATTTTTAGTATAAATAATTATTACAAAAATAATAGTGAAGATAAAAAAGGTGATGTGTATTGTGGTGGGGTATAAGAAATAGAAGGAGAGATAGTGGTGAGGAATTTTTTTTTTTTTTAAGCATAGATGTAGTAAAAAAAAATTACTCTTGAGGAGAAATGGGTGGCTAGGGTGAAAAAGTGGGTAGAGAGAGAATGAGGAGAATCCATTGGTGTTAATACTCTTACTTTATTCAATACCCCACTTACATTTCCTCTCTCCTACAAATCACCATTTTATTAAATTATGTTTTTATTATAATTATACTTGCTTTTATAAAATAACGATTATGAAACAATTAAATCTAATTATAATTAATTTGTTGTAAAAAATTATAATAATTAATTTTTAATTAATCATTTGACAGTAACTATTAGTTTAATTAAGAATTTACACGGCAAGTTTTTGCTGATATTAGTTTACTTATTTGACAGTAATTATTAGTTTAATTAATTATTTGACAGTTATTATTATTATTTGATGGTAATATTTGTTGATAACACTTTTAAAACGGCGAGTTTTAAGCTGTTGTAATTAACAACGACACACAAAACATGCCGTTTAGAAGTGCAGTAAGCCAAGAAATAAATAAATGAGTAGCAAGCCCACTTGCTATTGTTCATCAATTTATTTCCTCATGCTATGAGGAAATTTGGTTTTCCTCATTGTTGACAATGGTCTTAGTAATTGAAATAATGTGTAGGTTAATACCAAAATAAAGAGATAATCCACTACATATAAACAAGTAATAACACTATTATTGCTTTTATTCTTATAATAAACACAGTAATCACTTTCATGGGCCAAACTATTAGTTATCACATAATTATCCAATTTCTTATATCATTGTTTAGGTGTTTGTTTAAACCCCTAAAGTGATCTAGTTAGTTTACACACTTTATCTTCCAATCCTGGTTTGAACAAAACTATCAAGTTGTTTCATATTAATTTCTTCATCTAAGTCTCCACATAAATAATCTATAATATTATTAAAATGAAGAGGGACAATATGACCTGGTGACGACATGTGTCACTCGTATGTCATAATGCTGATTGTGACATGGCGCCACATAGATATGACATGACAACTCATACAAGTATTTGGACCATATTTAAGCTCTTCTTTTGTTACCATTATTGTCCGTGTGTTCAGGGGACGTAATCGACGTTTTTAGGGTCTTGGGCTAACTCTAACGCCGCTGTCAGACGGTTGCTGGAAAAGGACTTCGCGACGGTAAAGGTGAAGTTAGGGTAGGGTTTCGTAGATTTCTTGCGCTCGGTTTCAAAATTCTCTGTTCTGGTTGTCTTCTTTGGTTTGGCTAGTTTCTTTTGCCTTTTGAAGGTTGGGTGCTTTAATTTGGCTCTGTAAGTCCTTGTTTCCTTAGTTCTTCTTTCTTTGAAGCAAGTATGTTAGTTTTGTGTTTAAGTTTCTGCCTTGTGTTTGGATGTCCCCCTTTTTGGGTTAGTTGGTTTGTTTTTTCCCTTGTTTTGTGTTCATGTTGGAATTCTGGATGGATGGCCATGGTGGGCTTGTCCAATCTGGAAGAGGTAAGGAGAAGTGTTTTTGGGTTTGACTCTAGGTCTTGGGTAGTCGAAGGAAGGTTTGCCTTGGTCTTTACCTATGTTTCATGTCTGGGATTTGGAGAATTTGATCTCCTCGTTGTAGTCCTTGGCAGTGGTTTTGTCTTGAAGAACAATTTGGCCAAAAGTCATTTGTGGGTGGCTCTTTGTCTTTTTAAGTTTGCGAGTGAATGACGAGAAGGTTTGGTGTTTTGTTTCGTTGTCAGTCCGCTCTAATTTTGTTAATTGGAGTTCTTTTAGTTTTAGTTATTTCAGGTCTGTGATGGGTTTTGTACTCATAACATTCAAAATTTTAAATCTGTGCGCTGTTCCCATGTTATTTGGGGTTCATAGTTAGCTACCTTTCAAGAATTTCTTTCCTTTGAAGGAGAAATCAAGTTACTTGTTACCGTGATTTTACCTTCCTTTCGTTTCTTGCTTTGATGTTGTCGTTCAAGCTCCATAGGTTATTTGAAACCATGGTCAATTACCCAAGCTTCACCCTTGGTGGAAAAAGGACACCAGGATTAACTTGTAATGTAGGCTACAACTCGCTAGAATCAAGGCGGTGCTATCTACAAAGTGATTTCAATACTCATGGGAGGACTAAGATGGCGGTTTCTTTTAGCTTTGATTGTTTTCTTTTGTTCATAAGAGCAAGTGTTGCTCATAGCTTTGTAAAGTTCTTAATTGGCCTATAAACCTTTCTATATATGCAATTGTATCCTTTGTAAACATATATATATATATATATATATATATATATATATATATATATATATATATATATATATTGTCCAATAAAGTGGACAATTATTCCACATTGATTCACCATGAATAAAAGTTTCTTTTAACTTTTTTGTATTTGTTGCTTTTATTCTATAATAATGTCATTTTATAATTTAACATTCATTCAAAAAAATGTTTACAAACTTGAGATAATTTTTCATTTGTTCTTAAATAAAACTCGGGGTATTGTTTGAGACTCAAACTAGTTAATTACTTGTAAGAGGTTTATCAAATCCCAATGATTACCCAATAATGTAATAATTATAATTTAGAAAAACTACCTTTTTTTAAAGCATTTACGGAGTAGAATGGGTAATTTAGTAAATATTTACGTACATAAATTAATAATCAAAACAATTAAACAATTGCAATCTTATCTCATAAAGACTGTACATGTGAAAATAAGGGTATGTTCCCATTGATTGAATTGAACTGAAATGATTAGAGTTAAACTGAACTGAACTGATTAGAGTTGAATTGAACTGAATTGAATATTTTATAAGGGAAGGAAATTAGGAGCTGAAATGAACATAACTAAACTTATTAGAGTTGAGTTGAACTGAACTTATTAGAGCTGAACTGAACTGAATTGAAAATAATCATATCATAACAGACCCTAAAATTTATCATCATGACTATCAATGATCCAATGTATACTTGTAGTACTTTTTCAAAAAAAAAAAATGATTCAATGTATCGTAAAACGGAAATTTGATACGAAAAGCATTGATGATTCAATATATAAAACATTATACGAGTATTAATTATTTAAAAATAATAAACATGACTTAGCTTGAAGTTTTTCAATAAAGTTGACCTTTGAATAGATTGGGTGTATTTAAGTGTAATGCCAGTCCAATATACAACCAAGAGTCAAGCAAAAATTGGAATACTCATACAGTATTCAAATTGAAGTTCGTTAGGTGCAGTATTTGAATTCTTTGAAGACTGAATTTAAGATGTATACAAAGTGTGTTTTGAGTCTTTTTACTAGAACAATTGATTGTTCGAGTCTTTTGACTGGAAAAACAATTGTACAAGACTTGAAATTGTAGTGTCATAACTAGGTAATGCCTGGTCAATGCACGCTTCTTTTTTACTGTTAATAAAACGAAATTCTACAACCAATTGATAACTATCCATTGATAACAAATGTATCATAAAATATTTATCACCCCTTTATTCCTTTACTATAGGAAGAAACTTTAGGACAACAACTGTCTCGAGACTTCATTACGGAGCACTTCATATAATTTACTTCGTGTTAAGCTGCACACGGGCTATAATTTGGAAAAATAAATGTTTTTTAGGCTTCTAATTCTCAAGCCAAATATTTCATACATCATCCACCTATCACTATCACTATCACTATCACTATCACAATCACAAGAACAAAGAAAAAATCCCCAATTTAAATGATACACTTAACCAATTGAAATTTTGAAGTCTTTAAAAGAGCTAAAGCCTTTTCTAATTGCACCCTATTTAATTTTTGTAAATCAACATGTTATTATCCAAATAATTTTCTTCTTGTTTGTTATAAAGGATTGTGTCACGAAATCATACCACCACTTTTGGTGACAATGAATTTCTAATATATTGCTGATGCTAAACCATGTTAAGATCAAGACTTACTGAGAGGCTTGTCTCTCAAAAATGCTCTAAATAGCTCAAGGGCCACTCTTGGCTTGAACAACGGCACTTCGTGCCCTGCTCCTCTTACTGTCGCAAATGTTAGCCCCTCGTATACCTCTGTCCATCCTCCAACCTTGAAAAAAATACATTACAGAACAATTAGGCATATCATATGATATTTTGTTACTTGGAGTACTGTTATATAAATGGCCGTTATATAAATTATGCAATAAGTTGGAGCGCGTTTTTTTACTAACCTGTTTCTTAACATACCAAGGATACCATGGAATTTTAACTTTCATCTTCAATTGTGCAAGAGAATACCTAGTAGCTGTTACTGGCACCACTGAATCCACATCTCCACTGCAATTCATAAAGATTTGAATAAATGATAGTAAAAACCGCGCATTCTCCTGTAATGAATTTAACAGCATAATTCTGAAGCAATGCATTACTTATCATAGTTATATCAAAACAAATTTGTATACCTGAATACCCAGATTCGTATACCAGCTGCCATCAGCTGGCGATAAACAGGAAGAATCGAGGCCTCACTGTCATTCCAGTTCCTATTCAAAGTTTCGCTGTATAGAAAGAAACTCAAAATTCACAACTCTGCTTGATATATTACAGATTAATGTGTGTATTTACAGCTAAACAATTGAATTAACCTCACCTGCAGGCAGTCCACTTATACGGAATTTTAGTGGTATTAGCGTGCAGAGCCTTCTGCACGTCTGGCCTGTTGTAGTATTTTTCAGCATACTTTTCGGTACATGGATCATACCCAGATAACTTTCTCAAAATCTGACAGGTATCAAAGAAAAAACTCACTGATGTAACACAATTTTCAGACATATACTGGTATAATAATCAATCTAAGACTCGAACTTACATGATGAGGACGGTGAGGCAACTTCATGCTCCTGTGGGTTGAAACAGCAGCAGAGCCATCAGAGTTATTGCAAGGTGGTGCATAAATGTTGTACTGATCGATATTGCCAAATTCTTTATCCATGGCATAAGAATACAGTGTTTCACATTCGTCAGAGTTCTTTGCCCAGTGAAAATCACAAGTGTTAACTAATTGATGAAACGTTTTATCAGAGATCATGGCGTGACTCCACCAATATGTCACAGTCCCTAAGTTGTCGTAGTAGTTGTCTGTAACAGCATTTCCAACCTGCAGTTCAAGAATGTACATGTATAAAAACTTGAACTCAGAACTGAAATGAACATGTCAAGGGGCAAAAATTGATGCAAGCATATTTACCATTATTCCTTTGAGATTTAGGGGATGCTTGGAAATTGAATTGTAGCTTAAAATTTCCCTGGCCAACTGAGGGACGTAATGTCCAGCATAGCTCTCACCGGTTATGTATATTTCTCGATGCTTGTAGCGTGGGAACCGGTTCATCCAATGGACCAAGAATACCAAGGAGTCCCTGGCTGAAGAGCATTAAGAGTTTGAGACCAACACTACTACAAAGTTGGCCTAATATAACACCTTATGGTAACACTTTATAAGTCAAGATATAAATAGATATTTAAGTAACACTTTTGTAACACTTAGATAATAGGTAGCACTTGTATGTAACACATATATAATTTGTAACACTTCAAAGTAACATTTTACATAGAGTAACACTTTGATTATGGGTAGCAGTCATAGCACTTATATGGAACACACACACACACACACAAAAATTCTCCTTTCACTTTCTGCTAGCTCTCTCTCTCCTCTTTCTTCACTTTTCCCTCTTTTCTCCATATACCTCTGCGATTCACACTTTCCATCTTCTTCGATGGAGAACCTCAAAAACTCTCTGAAATTTTTACCCCAATCTTTAGATCCTTACTCCTCCTAACATCATCACTAAATTTCTTAATAAGAACTCAACGGCCAAACCCTAACCCTAGCTCCAACTCAATCTAACCATCAAACCACGAGTAGAAGACAACCCCTACGGCTGACGGTGATCAATTCGGCGGCGAAGAAGATATGACGAGTAGTACAAAATGCCGTCTTCATTCGTTTGAGATGGTGTTGCTGCTGCCGGAAATCCTTCCTTCCTTCCGGAAATACGACGAATTTTATCGGTTAGATGTCTTTTCTTGTTCTAATTATGTTTTGAATTCGATAATTTTTGAACTTTTTGATTAATTTTTCTGTGATTCACTTTTTTGAATTAAACCTGATTTGTAATGTGTTTGATTTTTTCATCAGTAATGTCGTTCTTTGTTCTCTATATTTTGATATTGCCTAGCTCAATCGAGCTTGAAATTGTTTTTTTTTTTTTTTCCTTTTTGTAGAATTATGAGTTTTGTAGAGGAAATTGTTTAAGAAAGTTGAATATTTGAGCATTTGAGTGGATGCATTCTCTATATTATCATAATACTACTATTAAATAATATGACGAGGCTATGAAATTTTGATTGAATTGGGTTTGGGAAATGCTAAAAGGTGGATTACTTTTTAATATGTTTGTTGTTGTTTGGATATTGTTGTGTATGTGTAGTTAAATTGAGAAGCACTATTACTACTGCTAATACTACATGCCTACTACTATGGGGTTCGAGGAAAGATGAGAAGAAGTTCTTTAGTATCATTTGCTTGTCTTTTGAGAGTATCTGAAGCACCTCATTGCTCTTTTTGTCCGTTTAATGGACAATTTTTCTTCCAGCCAAGTACCAATCATTAAGGTGCTTTTGTTTTTCCCCTATTATTTCTATATTTGCTTATTTTTATTTTTACTAGTTCAAGAATTTTTTATGCATTATGTATTATGGATAATTTGTGAATTTTTTTTATTTATGCATTATGTATTATGGATAATTTGTGTATTCTTTTGAGTGTGTACTGTATTGGTCATCAAATTTGCTTGCTTGTACATAAATGTTCTTAGAAGCACGTACTAGTCACATATTTGTTTGTATTCTTTTGAAGTACTATAGAAGTGAGTAGTGAATCACCCTCCTGTTGAGAGTATTTAGGCTCCAACTGATCAAAGCTCCGAAAATTCGATGAGTTAGCAGTACATGACTCTCCACCAAAATCAATTGTGAAATTTCAGATTTTGTAGAATTAATAAATTTGTTTTAGAATTGATGATTTATGTAATTTAATTGATGAATGTCTTAGCTTGTATTGATTCTATTCAGAAACTGATTAAGGATAAATAATTGTTGAATTTCATTCGGCTATGAGTTGTATGTTGGTAGCTGAATCGATGCAGAGTTTGACTGGGCTTGGTTTACGATAAATGCTTATTGAATGAGTTTGAGTCTGTTTGGGTGGGGGGATCATAATATCAGCTAAAATCAGTTGTACTTTGTAAAATGCAGTTATGAGCAAAAATCTATATCTGATTTTAGTGTGTGAAATTAGTTTTAATCTATAAAAATAAATATAGAGAATAATAAGGCCTTGATGATTAGTGTACTATTGTTACCCTTGCATTCTTGTTTTTGCTTTTACTTCAGTTTTCTTGTTGTTTTTGGTGAATAACTCATATTTTGCCAAGAAATAGGTTAGCTTCCATTTTAATTACTCGAGGTGATCTTCTCATTTCCTTACTGATTCATTTTGCTCCATGATAGCTTAATATAGTTTCCCTTGTTTTTTTGTTTTTGCTTTTACTTCAATTCTCTTGTTTTTGGTGAATAGCTCATATCTCGCCAGTATTGGTTTCTACTTGAACATGGAATTCATACCTGAGATAGTGAGATGATCATCATCGTTTGGATTGTGAGATTGTGCACATTGAGTGGGTTGCTATTGGCTTTAAACTTGTTTCAATTCATCTGATATATATGCTACTGTCTAGGAATGTAGAAAGCAATTTTTTTGCAATTAAACTATGTATTGTCATGAGCAGTTAAAATCTGTAGCCATATGCCATGGTGATGAGCTGATGACCTTCAACCATGTAAATCAATTTTTTTTTTTAATAGGAAGAGAAACTTATTAGAGTTTACTACTTAATACACTTATACTGTATGTTTTTCTCTAGAATAACTGGCAGGAAGTCTTAGCTTATTTCCATGTATCAGAACTGCAAAAGTATGACATGTGCATATTGGAAAATAATCTAAAGGTTTGCTATTGTGGAGTGGTGTTATATATATGTTTGATGAACCTTCAAGTTATTTGGATGTGAAACAAAGGCTAAAAGCTGCCAAAGTTATCTGATGATTGCTAAACCCAAAAAGGTATATTTTCATACTTGATCTTTCTTGTCTTCTATTTATGTATCAATTTATGCTCCGATTAATTAATGAGAGTTTTGATAAGGGAAGAATTTATGCTCTTATTAATCAATTTGTGCTATTGCATTCGATTCTTATAATGTTGTTAATTAACAGAAGTACATCAGTAGTTAGGGAGGTTACGTGGTGTTCTCAAATGTTTTATATTGCTAAAATATGACAATTGTCCACAATATGTTTTTATGATTGCATTCATTGCGACTGAATTTCCTTGTAGCCCTTTTTTTTTTTTTTTTCTGTTTGGGAGGTTACTAGGAATGGAAGCAGTTGGAGAGGTGGCAAAAAGGTGGGTGATCTTGTTGCTTATATTAGTAGTCCAATGGGTTTATATGCACAGAAGCTGATCCTTCCGACTGACAGAGCTGCTGTTGTTCTGTTTCTGAGTTTTTGTTGTTCTATTTCCGAGCTGCTGCTGTTGTTGCATGTTGCTGATGTTCTGCTACTGAACTGCTGTTGTTATGCTTTCAAGCTACTACTAATTTGCACGTAACTTTTTTTTATATGAAATTGTAATATTACAAGTATTTATTAATAAAAAATATCTAAGTTTTTATATGTATTATGGTGTGTTTATTAATTATACTGTTTTTTAGGCATAAAGGGCACTTGTTCAACCTAGGAAAAAACCGGTGTCCTTTATTGACGTTAAGGGTGCCAGTTTGGCCCCATCGGCAACCCCCAAAAAGGCACCGGTTCAAAACCGGAGCCCTAAGTCAGTTCATTACATTCTTTAATAATAATAATAATAATAATAATAATAATAATAATAATAATATGTTACCTATAAATTAACAAGGTGTTACATTGATTTGCAGAAAGTGATACATAATGTCAAATATATTGATACTATATATCAAAAGATGATTGAAAAATGTTACCTATTAATACATAAAGTGTCACATTAGTTCACAAAGGTGATACATAATGTCCGATGAAGTGTTACTATATGATTGAAAAATGTTACTAAAGATAAGTAAGTGTTACATAAGAAATAAAAAGTAACACTTTAAAAATGATACTAATAATATAAAAAAGTGTTTCCTAAGAGGGTTTATAGTATCACCTTTAAAAGTGTTACCATACGTTACCCAAAGTGTTACATAAAACCTTAGGTAACATGGGCGGATGTATCACCCATTAAAGTGTTACCTATTGTCTATAATAACACTTTTACCACTTTATGTAATATTTTTTGGGTGTTACTTATGGTTAGTTTTGTACTAGTGCGCAATTTGTTAGTTCAAAATGCTAAAGAAGTAGAACTTTATAACCATACAAATGTCACAAGTACTTGTGCTTTTCAAATTTTATACTTAAAATTGTATAATATCTGAAACTAGACCATTAGAAGTTCTATACTAGAAAAAATTAGCAGATTCATACTTCATTTATTCATATAATCTTAGGGCTTGTTCTCTTCCGTTGAAATTCAATTCAGTTTAGTTCACTTCAACTCTGCTCTTAATTTATGTCTAATGATATTTCTAATGATATAAAGCCAAATTTCATTCTTTTAAGCTCTTATTACAACAACAACAACAACAACAACAACAACAACAACAACAACAACAACAATAATAATAATAATAACAATAATAATAATCAATAAGTAATAAGTAATAATATTAATAATCATCAATAAATAATAATAATAATAATAATAATAACAATAATAATTGAAATAATAATACTAATAATAATAATCAATAAATAATAATAATAATAATCATCAATAAATAATAATAATAATCAAAATTAATAATAATAATAATATTATTAATAATAATATGTACATTTGTATATACACATATGTATAGTAATAAATAATCAATAAATAATCAAAGATCAATAATCCGTAGTTAGAAATCACTAATTAATAAGTTCAGTTCAGTTCAGTTCAGTTCAGCTCAGTTCAGTTCAGCTCAATTCAGTTCAGTTCAGCTGAGTTCAGTCAATCGGAACAGGCCCTTAATGCAATAATAAGGTCCAAATTGTTTTATAATGAAGCACTAGCGAAGTTTTACATAATTAGTTTGGAACTTCAGATTTAAACTCAAGTAACATCATTAAATTTGTAACTAACCACAATGTGTTCAAAATTTCAATCACATTCACATCCAGTGGCGGATCCAGGATTTTCAAATAGGGGTAGCGAGCGTGTAGTTGTTTAAGAAAATTTAAAACTAAAATTAAAAACAGACTTTATTTTAGCAATTCATATTGAAAAATTCCCACAAAAACAATTAGCAAAATAACAAACTGGGTGGTTTTATTGATGCAATGCAATGTGTTAGTAAATTGTTGTGCTACTTATTAATTGACAATGTAATTTTGGACATGCATACATATGACCGAGAACTTAAAACAATTACTAAGAATATTATACTTATTAAAAATAATTACGATAAAAAAACTACATAATGGTATGAGGTATCATGTTAATTATTTTTAGAAATTGATACTAGTGTTTTTACTCGTACTTTTATTTTAACAAACAATTCGTATCTAATTATCATTATAGTTCATAAAATACTCCATAAATCATAGATAATTTGTGAAAATGAAATAAAATCTTTATTAATAAGAGTAATGGAGAATTTTAAATTACTATTAATCTTATTAATGCTTTACTTATACATGTACATTATTATGGTATAAGAAATAAAGTCTAGGGGGGAATTGATTTGGAACAAAGAGTAAGAATAAGTTAAATGTTAAAGTGCTTAGAAAGGGAAAAAAATGAAAAAATTAGAGCTGGCAAAAGCTGACCCGACCCGACAACCCGACCCGAACCCAACCCGAAATAAATGGGTTATGAGCAAAGTTTTCAACCCATTTATGTAATTGGGTCGACCTGAACCCAACCCGAAACTAAATGGGTCAGGTTCAGGTTGACAATTCCGACCCGAAAATAACCCGCCTAAACCCGTTTAACTAATTGGGTTGGTTTCAGGTCGGGTCAACCCGAACCCCACCCATATAACCCTATATTAGTAAAATGATATTAGGCCTTAGTATTTTTATTTGGACAAAGCCCAACCTATGTCAAATCCTATAGAGTACAAAAAACCCAAAAAGTGAAAACCCTATTTTTTTTTCTAGTCATTTTCCCACTTGTTCAGCCGTTTTCATCTCTATTTTCCCATCTTATTCTCTCACCTCTCTCTTTTTTCTCTATCTAGCTTGTTTATCAAAATTGCAACTTCAAACTTGTTTATCTTCAAATTTTTCACCTACTAAGGTAATATAGTCATGCATTTCATTTTATTTACAATTATCTGTTGTAGTGTTGTTAAGAAATGTTGATTGAGACTTTCTAATTTGGTGAATAATATGAAAAATAAAGAAGTTTCGGCTGTGTTTGGGGTTTTTTTTTTCGATTTATGATGCTTTGTTTTGGATAAATTGGTGAATAATCTGATTATGTTGCTTTTTTTCTTCATTTATATTTCTATGCATGCATTTGTTACTTTGTTTTTTCATTTTTATGAGATTATTTTTTGCATTTTACAAGTTGATCAGGATTTTGTGTTATGCTCTTTGTTTATAATGAAGGTGAATGATGAAGCCAATACACCAAGCCCATTTGAGAGCGCACCTCAAAGTCAGTAGCAAGACTAGCAACTAGTCAAACCTGATGAAGTTTTCCAAGATCTAATTTTTATTTTGTTGGGAATATTGCCTCCTTAAGACATTGATTTTGATTTTGGACTGTACTGTAAATTATTATATGTAAACTATGGTTAGTTTTACTTGAATGTATTTTTATTATGCTTAAATTGATAGGTTTGTACAGCAAAGTTTTATGCAAAATAACAAGTTAAATATACGACTTTTTTTTTTATCATTATATTGTAAGAATAATCGGGTTTTTATTTAAAAAAAAAAAACAGGTCAAACGGGTTGAAATCAGGTCAACCCGTTTAAACCAAGTCGGGTTCAGGTTCTCCATTCTAACCTGTTTAAGTAAACAGGTCGGGTTCAGGTTGGGGGGTCCTGACCTGTTTATTAAACAGGTTGACCCGAACCCAACTCAACCCGACCTGTTTGCCAGCCCTAGAAAAAATAAGAGGAAGTGGGGCTCGAACCCTTGCCGCAAAACACAAAACTTGGGAAATTTTCTCTTACCACTGCAGCATTGATAAGCATCTAGTCTAAATATTTAGTATTAAAAATGTTATACTGAAATTCTGGGGGTAACAAGGATCCGCCACTGTTCACATCAAATTGAAACCGAAAAAAATGACAAATTCAATCATTCACAAGTTCTCGTGATTAAGTACATATTATTTTTTTCCCCCACAACTTTCATATACTACCTCCGTTTCATGTTTTTTGCAACTTTGGAATATTTTATCTATCTTAAATAATGGCCAAAGTTGCAAAAAACATGAAACGGAGGTAATAAATTAAACCAACAACGGGCTTATAGGAACAAGTTATGTTTAAAATTTTGAGAAACAATGTCTAGGAAAAAATAGAGAAAACCATACTAAACAAGTATTTTATTTTCCTTATTTAACATAAAAAACTCTTTCTAAAATGATTCGATTAAAACGAATTGATTAGTAAACAAGGAAAATGTCTTAATATAGTTATCATGTGGGATACATACGTAATATTTCGTCCGTCAATTTTTAGTCACACCGTACCACACAAACCCAGAAACTCTCCAAAATGAGACAAATAAAATATAATGTTAAGAATGTGACATTTCCAAAGGACAAATTAATCATTTTTCTACATGTTTGAACAATAAATTAGGTAGTTGGGTGTATATAGGGGTGTTAATTCGGTTAAACAATTCGGGTTTGGGTTGGGTTTATCAGTTTCGGGTTATAACGGGTTGAAATAATAAGCGGGTCAGTTTGGGTCGGTTTTGAAAATTATCGGGTCAGTTCGGTTTGGTTTTTTTAATTGCAGTTTCTATTCGGATCGGGTCCTTATCGGGTCGGGTTCTAGTCGGTTCGAGTCATAATCAATTTGGGTTGAACCGGGTCGGTTTGAAAACAGTTCAGGTCTTAATCGGGACGGGTCGTAGTAGGTTCGGGTCATAATCAGTTTGGGTTTAACTGGGTCAGTTCGAAAATGGGTTTCGGTTCAAAACAGATTGGGTGAAATCGGGTCCAATCATTATCGTTTCAGGTTATAATCGATTTAGATTGAACTTGGTTGGTTTGAAAACGAATTTACCCAATTTGAAGCGGGTTTCTAATCAAATCATATCGGTTTAAATTGAGTCAGATTATCGGGTCGAATTAGTCATATAACGAGTAGGAACGAGACATGTTATAATCAAGTCAAGTCATGAATGAGTTGGGTTTATCGAGTAGTGGGTTGAAACAGATTAGATCATAAACATATTGGGTAACACGTTGTAAATGACTCAGTCATAACGGGTTACGGGTTTTAAACGGTTTGGTCACAACGGGTTACGGTTGATAAACGGTTCAGTCACAACGGGTTACGGATTATAACCGGTTCGGTCACAACAGCTTACAGGTTGGAACGATTTAGGTTTATTGGATTTTTATCGGGTTTTAACAGTTTTCGGTTTATAAATAGGTCGGGTTTCTATCGGGTTTTAACGTAATCGGTTTGGGTTGCTTTCAGTTCCGGTTGTAACGGTTTGGCTTGATTACGGGTCGGGTTAGTAACGGTTTGCACAAATTCGGTTCAATTCAGTTTCGGGTTGGAAAAAATTGGGTCAGGTCAGTTTTCGGTTTCCAAAAAACGAGTTTTAAACAGTTCAGTTCCTTTTCGGATTGGTTCGAAACAGTCAGGTCTAACGGTTCGGGTCAGAAACTAACAGCTCTAGGTGTATATGATATTCATGTGTCATCTTTGATTCTAGATCATGAGATTTGATTACATGAGCCCACTATTGAGAAAATCAGTAGGACCCATATTCAAGCCCAATCTTTATCTCATTACTACTTAACATTCATTTCTTCGTCAAAAAATAAAAATCACTTCTGTTAGTCATGTCACGTGGGAAAATGTATGGTGATTACTTATGATTGATAATTTTCATGAGAATGAAACACTAAAACCTAACATTATAAATGCTAATATGGTGACTTTTATTCAAACTAACATCTTAATAATTTTTTGCATTGTAACAATTTCTCTTAATGTGAACACATTAAGTGCATTTACATATTACCGACTACAATAAAAAATGCTTATACGATGTTGTGTTACTTCCCTTGTTAAGAAGTTCGTGAGGCTTTTGTTATATTCCTATCAATTTTTAGTAGACACATTACGCTTTCAAATTATTGCTTGATGATTAATTAGAAATTAGTGAAGTGAGTTGAAAACTACCTCCGTTTTATATAACTACCTCCGTTTCATATTATTTGTAACGATTAGACATTTTGTTTCTCTACTTTATATCAAATCGTTTTAGGTAATATGAAGCGGAGGTAGTATTTGCAAGGATAAGACATGTTATACTCACATTTTATGTTTAGTCATAATAATATAGAACTGAGGTAGTATTTCATATTACAAGGTATATACTCAGTATATGCCAAGAGGGCATGATACATCGGTCCCAAAGAAAATGTAAGTGGAGCAACTTAAACGTGATAATGGTATGGGCTATTTTGGCTTGGTGGGGCTGATCCACGCTCAGCAAATGCGTCGTTCTTGAATCTTTGGTAGCATGCGTAGAATTTGTAACTCTATCGTTTAGAAATATCTTTCAAAAGTTTTTTCTTTTTTAATACTCTTTTTTTGGATGCTAGTGTAACCACTTTTAACAGTTTTTAGACTTTTAACATGTTACTGTCAACAATATCAACGATATCAACATGACATATGATAGTAACACACTAATGGTGTAGTGATTAAGAATTTAATACTAACTCGATTGGTTGTTGGTATAGTGTTGATTGAGGTTGCACTTTGTTGGAAAAATTGCGTATTCGATCCCCCCAACAATAATTAGAAAAGGACTAGAACAAAACTACACAAAACTGGAACCTGAACCTAGATTAACCCAAACCCAAAGGTTGAGCCAAATTAGAACAACCAAAAAAAAAAAAGAATTTAAGACTAAGATCGAGCAGTTCAAAATCCTTTTTATTGTCTTTGTGACTCATTTGAAAAGAAAAAAAAAAAATTGTACTCCATCTGTTTTTTTAGAGAAGGTTTTGCGTAAGATTGTTTCACGTGAGTCCGTTTTATATTGCACACCCATCCCCCACCACTGCCACTACCTAGCCACTTGTCGGCGGCCGGCAACCACCATCCCCCGGCGCCGGCGACCCTCCCCCATCCATTCCCCTACGCCGGCGACTCCATCTGTTCCCTTTTTTTCCCATCTAATATTTGATATTTATAACTTATTATCTGACCACTATTATCTAATTTCTGACAATTAAGATTTTTTTTTTCTGTTTCATATTATTTACAACAATTAGACATTAATCTTCTTTATTTTATGTCAGATCGTTGCAAATATTATGAAACGGAGGTAATACTTTTTTTATTTGCATCACTTGAAAATGCGTGGAGTTTTAGGAGAATGAATTTGGTATAATATAATAATAATGTGAGTAGATGAATAATTTATCTTGATAAAAGTAATGTGAAGACCGAAACTGAAAGTATGTGAGATGGACTAGTGGGGACATAAAAGAGAGAAATGATAAATTAATTTGAGTAGGGTTTAAAGTAAGAAAGAAAAATAATAAAATATGGTATAAAGTTAATTAATATACTTCTATATAAAAGTGATGCACATAAAAATAAAAATAAAAAAAAAAAAAAAAAAAAAAAAAACGGAGGGGAACTTAATAATTGAGAGAATACGATAGGGATAAGATGTCTTACCAGTGCGACGGTCACCAGTATCATAGAGATCAGACGACGTATTGGAGTAAGAGAAGCCAACACCAGCAGGAGTTTCAAGGAATAGAAGGTTTGCATCCAAATTCCAAGAGAATTTGTTCATGTACAATCCTGATGATGTCTTATTTATCTTAAATGGCCCTATCTCTTCCGATGCACCGTACGCCACTGACGAACATCCTGGCCCTGTTGCACCCAATGTTAATTAAACTTTTATACATCTGCATTAGCATTAGATACTACGTAGAAGTTACGTACTTGCATACAATGCACTACTTTTAATTACATCAATCATAGGATAACTAATTATCGATTAGTAGTAATTAGAAAATGATACAGCTAGATAAGCTTACGTGGCTGCCAGGTACACTCGCGTGCAAGTAGCCATGTTCAACAAGTATTATGTGTGAGGGCACCATAATTCTAGTCGATACAAATTAAACATCATCACACTTATGAGTTTCGATAATTAGCTTTAACTTTTAGTTGAGTTTTTACTCCATTGTATTAAACAAAAAAAAAACATATTTTGATCAAAAAATTAGAGAGGCAAGACTTCCTTTATGTACATGCCGAATTTAAAGCTAAAATACATCTTTATATCAATAGGAAAAGATAAGCACGCTTAGATGGACAAAAACAGTTCAAGAAAAAATTGACAATTTGACATACAAGGAGCACATGCATATCTTTTTAAATAGATGTGGAATTATTAAGAAAAAATTGATTGCTCTTTGTTTGCTAGATTTTGTAGGTATCGTTAAAGAGAGAATATACCTTTGTTGCAATATTATTCATTAATCATTATTTCCGAACTACATAGTCTAAAGAATAGTTTGCAACTTACACAAGAAGGTTAGGTTAATGGAATAATGGTGATTGTAACAATAATCTAGTCAAAAAATTTTGCTCAACAAAATCTCACTATCAGTATTTTTCCTAAAACCATATGCTTACAATATGCGAGAAATATTCACTACAAGGAGTAAAACACGTTCTAGTGTATGTTAATGTGTTATGCATGCAAAAGATATAAAGTGAATGGGAATATAAAAAAAATTGTTTAAGGTTACCAAATAGAAAAGTTTACTGTATTGTAGTTTTCAGATATAGTAAATGTACTCTGTATCACACATGTTTTTGTCAAGTAAGACGTGTTTAATAAGTTAGACAGAACAATTATGAATCTTCGGTCCTCACAAGTCACAACCAACATTTGATTGGTCCAAGAAACCAACTATTCCTTTTTGCCCGAGAATTTATACTATGAACATAGTGAAACATACTACGTATAAGACTGTTGGATGCATAATAAGTTTCCACCTTAATTTTGATCAATTTAACTAATTTTTAATCAAAAAAATGATTTAGATGTTCACATGCATATACTTCGTATATTATAAGTTATAACAATTTCTTTATACACGAGGAAATTAAAAGGTGTTACATTTAATATCATAATTTATTTCATGCAAGAGCATGATAGTAATATATATTTGAAAAATAATGATTTAAACTAATTTAAATTAGGATAACACTAAATTTCGCATACTATCATTCTTCAATATGAGTGCATAGTTAATTCATGAAAAAAAATCACTTTGTACATTGTATAATTTATAACCCTAGTGGTGAATTTGATGGATTCAATATTATAATAGGCCAACAATAACAACCTAGTAAGTAGTAACTCTACCTACCTATGGGTCAATAAAACATTTACCAATAAAACACCCTAACAAGCGAATTGTACATACTCTGTTCCCTAAATATTGTAACATGAGAATGACATATAGATTTTATAAACACAAGAGAGATAAAGAGGAATAAAGATAGAAACTCATGTAGTCGTGTGATAAAGAGAATAATGAAAGGGAAAAAAAAAAGTTGAAAAACTTTTCAAATTAGTAATTGTTACAATATTTGTGGAAAGAACAAAGTATAATTTAAACCATCTGAATACGGAGTATGATGTAGCCTAGCCTGACGATATGAGTTTGGAAATACTAAAGATAAGATTGGATAATAAATAGAGGTAGTTACTCATAGCCTGCACCAGATAAAGTAACGTTATATCAATGTAATAGTTAGCTAAAAGCTAATGCATTGATCATATGCACCTAAAAAGCTAAGGGTGCACCTCTCAATCTCATCAGCAAGCAAGTCAGATTATGAACATTACAATAAATGAGATCGTGATTTATATTTGGTTGCTCAGCAAAGCATTGAATTTGTCTGATTATAACAACATGCATCATGTTTAATGCATTATATTCAGTCATTGTTTTCTGGACACACCCATTTCTCTCATCAAGTGGTTAGGTCATTACTTATTTATTTTCTACTTGTACATTTTGCGGTGATGTGGGAATTGGAATAAATGTTAACAACAATTATCGGCCAATTACGATGCCGCCATATATAATTGCCAAATAGTCCGTACAATCCCCTCTAACTCAAAATTAATCACTGTATTTATATTTCGATCTTGCTAACGAGCGTCCCGGGGCGTTAGATAAAGATAAATTATATTGGTTGAAATGGTATTAAGTTAGGAATTCATGACAAAATCACGGATCGTTCGGTGTAATTAATGTTAATTTTACTCTAATATTTGCACTTTAATTCTCTTATGTAACGCCCTATATTTATGCCACGCTATTTTATACGTAAAAATAAGGTTTTTTTTTTTAAAATTCAATAATTAATTTATTAATATAATTAGGGTCAGGTCCCAATTGACCCCAATAAATAAGGTCCCTCTCTGCGTACAATTATCATAGATTCATAGAAGAGTGGGAAGAAAAAATTTGTGTTGTACGACATCTATTTGAAAAGTTGGAAATATAAGACTATAATAACTTTTTCACCATTTTACCTATATATAAGGAAAGATGCTTCTCACGGATTATGTAGTCAGGGAATTGGAATTTAACCCTTTAACTTAAATAAACAAATAAATCATGAACCTGTTATCTTCAGCTTATTTTCATTTCAATTCAGTTTCGTTCCAATTCTAATTTCCTTCTCTCATAAAATATTCATTTCAGTTCTAATTAATTCAATTCAATTTAATTCAGTTCAACTCACTTCAATTCATTTCAATAAATCTAAATAGTCCTTAAAAAAAATAACTTTCTTTCAAACAACAAAAACTTTTGCATGCTCCCGGTTTACAATAATTTTATTGTACATCGAATATTTTGCTAAAAGTGACCATTTTTCTTATAAAAGTGAACTTTTTTTTTTTTTTACAAAACTAACCCATATTTTCATAAAAGTGATCCATTTTTTTCACAAAAGTAACCCTTTATTTTCACAAAAGTGACCCTTTTCATACGTAAACGTTACCCAATCTATCCACAAACGTTACCCTTTCATACATAAACGTTACCCTTTTTTACCCACAAAAGTTATCATTTTCATGCATAAAATTCGAAGTAACTCTTTAATGCACAAAAGTGACCAACCCCATAAAATCACATAAGTTACCCTACAAAAATTACTTGTAATTTTTTTTTGAGTAAAACACTGAAAAATTAATGAATTTAATTAAAAATATACGAATAAAAAGATTAAAAAAAAAAAAACAAATCAGAAATAAATTAAACAAGTTCAATTTCGCCGTTTAGATTAGTAGAATTGTCTTCTTCTTCATAAGCTTAAAATTTACCATTTTAATCTAAAACTGAAGAAGTAAAAAAGAATACTCAAATTTGATGGAAGAAAAAGTTTGCTTGAACCACCAAAGAAAATGGAAGAAAGAAGTACAATAGTTCATCAATGGAGAGGATTGAGAGAGGAAAAATCCAGGAGAATTGAAAGAATCTTTGAAAGTAGGGAAATGAGGTAAAAGAAGTACTGTGAGGGGATGAGAGAAAATGGAATATAGAGTAAAAAAATGAGTTACTCACAAACCCACACTTGCTTTATACGGTTCGATTTACAATGAATTTATGGTAAATTGGCTTTATTTTTAAAGTTTGTGTTCAAACAAAACAAGTTCAGCAAATTGGTTGGCCTTCTGCCAAAATTTAGATATCACTTCTCTATATTATGTAAGTAATAAATGCTAGAAATAGGCATCTAATAAAGGGAGGGAGTAGTATTTTTTTTCTTCTAGTAGCAATAAAAAGTTGCATATATAAAACACATTATTTTCTTTTATTATTAAATACCATTGACCATCATCAAAATCTTTAATATCGCATCAATCGATCCAATTAGGGCATGTTCTCTTCAGCTTATTTTCATTTCAGTTCATCTTCAATAAGTATAGTTCATTTCAGTTCAGTTCTTAATTTCCTTCTCTCATAAAATATTCAGTTCATTTCATTTCAGTTCTTAATTTTCTTCTCTTATAAAATATTTAGTTCACTTCACTTCATGTCCAATAAATTCAGTTCAGTTCAAAGTTCAATTAATCATAATAGGCCCTTAATTAAGGAGAAACATTTTTGAAAATACAGATTATACGTTGGATTGTTCAAGAGCATAAATTTTGACCCTATTCGTTTTTAGAGTTTTTCAAAGCTTGTACTCTGCATTTTGAAAGTTCCATCAAGAGCATAAATTTTTATTTAATAAAAAACGTTTTACATAAACAGTTACGATTTTGACTAACTTAAAAATATACTCCGTAGTAATTGGTAATTATACGTTGGATTGAAAGAGAGAGAGAGAGAGAGAAAAAAAAATAAATAAATAAAATCCTCCAGCAGTGCACTAAACAAAAATTAAACTCCTAATGCAGAAAATTTTAAATTGATGTTAAAAACTAAAATTTTGAAACCAGCATTTATAATTGGAGCGGGCTGAGATTTCAAATTTGTTGGGTATTTTTCAAGTGGTAGATGTGAATAGAGTGAGAGTTACGTGGGGACAATTTTGCATTATTTCCCCTTTCATTTTCACTTAATAGTGGATACCACTATACTGTACTACAGTGCAATACTGCAGAGGAGTTATACCAAATTACCAAGGGTGAATATGGAGGGGTTTAAATTCGGGTTGGGTCGGGTCTAGTTGGGTTAGTTTTAGTTTGGGTTTAAATTATGTTAAATAAATGTGTTCATACAGGTCCAATTATGTAACAATTTTAGTTGGATTGTTCAACAGTTCAAGTAGTTTACTATGTTCGAGTTAGTAATTGACACCTTTAAGTGAAAATATATCCATTTTTTTTAACAATTCAAGTAAATAAACACTTAAATATACCTTTCTCTCGAAAGGTATACCTACTAGGAGAAAAAGTTCTTCCATACTAATTGTAAAAGGCTCAATGTTTTACACAATTTTTTTTTACCAATTTATTGCTACATGTATATAGTTTATGTTTGACACGTGTGAAAAAGACTGTCGGAAAATATGTAAAACGATAGCTTAATTAACTCTAAGAAGTTACTCAAACAAAACTTAAGCTACTTCTAAAATATGAGATTAGCATGCAGAAATTCAACTAAATATAAAATCCCTAATTTATGACTTTATGCCCTTAAAATCCAATAATTTTATATACAAGTTTACACTATACAATAACTCCTCAATAGTCAATATTAAATGAGATGTGAAATCATATTTCCTTTTCCTCAAAATTTAATAAAACAGTTCTATTTTCACTTAACCAAATTTAATTTATTACTCTCATAAAAAATCAAAAATAAAAAATTATCATGACTTCAGGTGCATTTGTATATTCATACAATCATACATACTCCCTAGTCCCTCCTCCAAGATTAATGGTCACATTCACAAAGTAATTAAACCCCGTGCACTTAATTCAAAGGTAATAGGAGTATCCGAGTAAAGAGATCGATCAAGAAGATTACCTCCGTTGAGCCAAATGACTAAGGGCTTAGAAAGAGGGTTGGAAACAGCTTCAGTGAGCCAATAAAAGAGGGATCTTCCAGCAACATGATTAACCGTTACATAACCTGAAAATTGCTGAAATGTTACTTTAGGTTGACCAGGAAGTGATATTATACGATCTGCTTCTTCTTCATCTCTTAGTTTATGGCTAATTCCTATACCAAAATATAGTATGAATAACACTAGCATTACTTGTCTCTTTTTTTCCATTATTATCAAGGTTTTTTTCTTCATAAAAAAGAATGAAATTAATTTAGTGGAAAAATATAGGGGAATTTGAAGAAGAAAGAAGGAAGTTGGTCAGTTTTTTTTTCCTTGTTTTTTGTAATTTAGGAGGGGAAGTGAAGCGTGTGCCAATAAATAGGGGCATAAAAGGGTCTATCATTTATTTGGTTCCAAAACAATATCTTGTTTTTATTAAATTATTTAGGCAAAAGCTAATGAGCGCCCCCGGGGCGTTAGATAAGAGAATTAAAGTGCAAATATTAGAGTAAAATTAACATTAATTACACCGAACGACGCGCGATTTTGTCATGAATTCCTTACTTAATATCATTTCAACCAATATAATTTATCCTTATCTAAAGCCCCGGGGCGTTCGTTAGCAATATCCTATTATTTAATATTGTAGTGAAAAGTTTAGCAGCTTTTACTCAAATGTAGATTTGACCTTTCGAATTCTCAACTTGTTGTACGTCAAAGTTATCTTTCATCTTGTAGCTTTTGAAGTTTATTTTTTTTTTTTTTAGAAAGGATACAAACAGATTACATAGAAATACTAAAGCAAATAAAATTAATCGCCGTTTCCCCGCAATTTGATGAGCTCGATGAACGAGCCGACGATCCGCCTTATGAATACAACAATACTGAAAGGTTGAGCCAAGTTGTTGAATCTTGCGGATAAGCTAAAGGTAAGCCACATTACCTCGTCCATCCCCCCGAAGAAGGGTGACAAAATTATATGAGTCAGTAAAAATTGTGACAGAATGATATAGTCGGTCGAAAGCCCATTGTAGCCCGTACAAGCAAGCCAAAGCCTCCGCATGTAAAGGTGACGTACAAACCCCGAAGTTACTTCCTCCAATGATTCGATCATCCAACGGATCATCATTATCCAAGCACCAACCCATCCCAGCATGTTGAGAGTCTTGGAACCAAGCACCATCAGTTTGTAGTGAAACTAACGATCCCCCCTGGGTACTCCGACCGAGATGAGCTTAGTAAAACCCAGGCGGAATAGTGGCTCCTGTGTCACCTCCCGCAACATTAGGGGAAGAAGCAGCGTCAGCCGAAAAAACAAAGACTGAATGAGTATCCATGACCTCCGCAAACTGTGAATTAAAGGGCCTGGAAGCAGAAGACTCCCTAAAGATCCTAGAATTCTTACATAACCACAAACTCCAAAGCGTACCGACAAAGGTACTTAAGCAAGCACTGGAAGGTCCATCCTGACTAATAAAAAGTCGGATATAATCTTGGATCCAATCTGAAAGAGAAAGGTCTCCATTAAATTCTGAGCGGATACCGAGGCATCCACACCTCCAAACTGAGCGTGCATTAAAGCACATTCGAAATAGATGCTGTAAATCCTCTGGTTCTGACTAACAGATGTCACAAGACACATCTTGAACCGGAACACCTCTGTGATGGAGTTCCGCCTTAACCGCTAGAGCCCGATGCAACAGTTTCCATAGGAACAATTTCCATTTAGGTTATAACTGAAAGACCAAAGAACTTTCCAGAAAAACTCTGAAGAAGACAGTGTGGAAGCCAGAGAAAGTTGTTGTTGAAGCATTGCATAGCCAGTTTTCACCGAGTACGTGCCCGACGGGGTAGACGCCCAATAACGAAAATCTTCCTAAGTCGAATCAGGGGCCTCTGATGCAAGGATTGTAGAGGCATCCGCATGCTGAAACCATTCGTTCACTTTCGCAGAATCCCACCCCATTGATAGAGGGTGGATGAAAAAACTGACTGAATGAGCTGCTGCAGCAGTCACTGTAATTCCAGGTTTAAACTCAAGAATGCGACCGTTGACCCACTTAGCCGACCCAACTATAGTAGACCGACCATTACCGATTTTCCAGTTACAGCCCTGTTTTAATAGGGTGTCCGCCATAAGTAACCCCCGTAGACCGTACGAATGACGCCCAGTAAAAGTAGACACACTGTGCGGATTGTTGGAAAAAAAAGTCGTACGAGCACCGAAAGCTATAGAAACTAGAAGCTGCGGGTTGGAAAAGAGTCTCCAAACTTGTTTCATGAGTAACGCCTTATTTAAGGATGACAAACAGCGAATGCCCAACCCACCAATGCCACGAGGAAGATGCATGGTGTCCTTGTTAACCCAACGCATACCTTTAGTGTCAGAATGCGCCCAGAAGAAGCGCATAATTAAGGAATCAATTTTCCCAATAACAGAGACTGGTAACTCATAGTAAGAGAGAACATGGGACGCCATTGCAACAAGGATAGAGTTAATGAAAATCAACTTTTGCGATTGTGAAAGCCTAACTGCATTCAAACTATTAATTCTTCCACTGATTTTGTCGACGATGAATTGGATGTGGTCTTTTTTCTTCCCGACGAAATCAATCGGGGCCCCGAGGTGATGATCAAAAACCTGAACATGCTTCATTTGGAATATCGGTTTGAACTCTGCTTGAGAGGAGGCCCAAATATTGGGGCTAAACTTTATCTAGGACTTTGACAGGTTTAGATCTTCTCCCAAAATCTTAGTAAACCGTTGAATGATCTGCATGATATTTGAACAAGAAGCAGACGTTGCTCGGAAGAAGATAAAAGCGTCATCCGCAAAGAACAAATGCGAGATAGAGGGGCTGGCTCGGGACAGCTTGATTCCTTGAAAAAGTTTTAAATCCTGTCCCAAATGCAACATACGAGAGAAGATATCCATACAGGATAGGAAAAGATATGGAGAGATAGGATCACCTTGAAGAAAACCACATTGAGGTCTAAATGTATCCGAGGTAGTACCATTGATTAGAGATTAGTAAGTAACCGTAGCTAGGCATTGTTGGATCATCTGAAACCACGGTCCGGGAAGCCATAGGCTTTAAGGACCTGTAGAAGAAAACTCCAGTGAACTCTATCATAAGATTTACTCATATAAATTTTGATTGAAGCAAGCCAATTAGTGCCAGTTTTGGAACATTTGATTTTTTCCATTAACTCATGACTCAGTAAAATATTATTTGTCAGAACGTGGCCTTGAACAAAGGCGTGCTGAGAATCTGAGATTATAAGAGGGAGAAACTGGCGCAATCTGGCCACCAAGCATTTAGACGCGCACTTGTACATTGTGTTACACAGGCTAATATGACGTAAATGCCCCATCAGTCGGGTTACTAAGCTTAGGAATCATAACAAGAAGCGACTGATTCCATTCTTTCAAAAGAAACCCCGTTTGAAAGAAACTTTGAATACCCGAAACCACTGAAGCTCCTACAACGTCCCAATGTGTTTTAAAAATTCAGCTGTAATTCCGTCTGGACCCGGAGACTTACACTTCCCTAAAGAAAACATGGCAAGTCGAATTTCAGAAGCAGTGAAAGGACATTTTAAATTAGCGATTTGAGAGGAGTTGAACCGAGGAAGATCTAACTCCCGCAGAACGGTATCAATTTCCTTATCATAAGGAGGAATGTAACCAGTTTTAAAGGTCTTCATAAGAGATTGCACAACAACATGCTAAAAAACCGTTTGCCCATGTTGTAGGACACCCAAGTCATCAAGTAACGAGGTAATCACATTTTTGTACTCCATCAATTCATTATTTATAAGAATTCTAGTTTGGTCTATATATTTGCTAAAATGTAATTTTGAAATGATTTCAACTCATACACATATATTAATAAGTATATAACTATATAAGTAAAAGGATGTTTAATATAAGCATATATTTAAAACATAAATATTGGTCAAAGTGATATAAGTAAAGGTTTGTTCTGATTGATTGAATTGAATTGAACTAAACTGAACTTATTGGAGCTAAACTGAACCGAACTGAACTATATGATCAAACTTATTTGGGTGTCAAAAAATACCATGGTTAAGAGTTTGGATGTGTTAATAAGGCATCCTCCCTTGATAGTATATGCCAACGCACGGCTCCGCGAGTTTGTGATGAAATCGAATTTGAATCCAGGGTATGGGTGGATTTAAAAACTCGGATGAACCCTTATTATTGTCATGAGCGTTTTCAGGTTGATAGAGCTTAAATCCTCCGGGCTAGCCACATACGTAAAACACATACTATTGTGGCAAAGTAGGTAAGCTAAAATGCATATGCATATGTGACAATTCCTATTAAATCGCAGGAATATAATTCAAGAATCTTTCAAGTCTCATCCACTCATCTCAATTAAATATTGATCACTCAAATCGATAACTAACAAAGAATCCTCCCCAGTGGATTCTCCAAATTATAGGCGTCGTTCGAACCACACTTATGTTAAGCATGTTGTGAATATGCTTGGCACTCGTAGGAAGTGGGAATTGACATTATACGATTAGGGACAAGGAAAGTAGGGAGCCGCCAACAAGTTTTTATGGAACTTGTAAACTGTTATTGAACCATTTAAGGCAACCACGATTAAGGGACAACGATAGGCAACAACGACCAATTGACCCGTGAAAGTTATACCCCATTCATAATCCATGAGATTACTAACTCTATATGGTTTGGAACCACGAAAAGTGAATCGGGGACGATGATATGAAGTGAGTCATGGAGTCATATTCACCCGTATTGACCTCTATCTACTCGATTGTTATTATGAAAAGTATTTCTTACGATCTCAAAGGCATGCAAACAAATATTCGATTCGCTCTAAACTATTGTTAGGCTAAATTAGAATATTAGTGATCACTTTATTAAACAACAAGATTAAAAAGGAATCCAAACCGATTGTCCAAATTATCTTATTAGTCGTGATTTTTCAATTATATTTTCTTTTGAAACATGTAATATGGTGATCAACAATAAAAAATAATATTAGAAGCAATTTAACCATAATATCGTTAGTCAAATTAAATCATAATAATAACCTAATCATGATCCTAGCAATATAAAATAAATTTATTAATTAAATTAATTAATTACGTACTCACATTCCGCGCATTCCTTTAATTGCTACATCATGAATAAATTGTTAATAACTTCAATAAAAATAAATTAAATTGAAACAATTAAGTAAATTAAAAGTAGAGTTGATTTGGTCCAAAACTCAGTCAATCTACCTTTCACGCCTTGGTTTAAGTACAGAACTTCGAGTGCTGTATGGACACCTTGGAGTGCTTAAGGGACGTATGAAGAGAGAATATGGAAGGCTAGTATTAGGCTAAAGCATAAGAGAGAAAGAGAGAATGATTTTGGTGTATAAGAGAGGAAGAGAGAATGATTTGGTGCCCCGAAACTGAGTAAATCAGGTTCGTATATATAG